AAGCCGGCATGCCAGCCTAGTTGCTAGTTGCCGGTAAAAGGAGAAACTATGAAGTCTATAGGTGCATTAACACAATAAAAATTAGCATTAAAAATAAAAAACTCTGGATAAAAAACAACAAAAAACATGTACATACAAATTAGTTTCAACAATAGTTGAAAAATGCAAAATTTAAAAAATCTATAAAATTGTACTACTTGTTCCAGCCATATCTATGAACCATTCTTTCAAAAGCTTGTCTGGCTTCACTTTCAGAATAATCGCCACTAGATGAGAGATCAAGACGAGCATTTGAATCAGACATGATTTCAGCTCTAACTTGAACTAGTATACTCTGAAATGAAAGAAGGGAATTATTCGAATTGTCAAGATTGGGGAAATGTGTTTTCATTATTGCTAACAAAAATAATAAAGGAAAAAACTGAATTAAAGCTCTATGGACGCATCAAAATTGGTTTGTCTGTCCATATTTTGTCAGTATGTATTTAATTACATTTAATATTACATCTAGATTTACATGTGTCACTTTAGCACTGCATATTGGCAAGCATAATACCATATGGAAGGAAATTTTGGAGGTAGTTAAATTTGGCGAATTTGGCGTTTTGATAGCCATTCGCCAAAATAAAAATTTGCCATTTTGAGCCATTATACGCATGCTCAATGGCACGTGGCCACAAATTCGCCAAATTAAAATTCGCCAATCACCAAAATTTAGCAATTCGCCAAAATTTAGTCCCTCCAAAATTTCCTTCTGTACGGTAGTACATTTGGCTTAACACATTACAACATAAAAGAAGGTACATACAAAAGAAGTTAGATCATTACAAGTATGTGATAATAATGAGTGATACCTCTATATCATTAGATGGAGACCAACCTGACCTCGTTAACATTTGCATACATATACTACCACCAATAGTAACATGACCTGTAACAGACAATAAAAAGTAAATGCATACATGCATGTACATTACATTATAAAATATTACATGTACATGTATATCAGTACTCTTTCGTTCAAAATTTAAAATTTAAAGCAACTTAAAAGGAACTAATTTATGATTAGAATCAGCTAAAACTTAAAGAACATGATAAAAACCAAAAAATATCTATTATGTTTTTCATGAAAAAATAGGCGCACCATCTACATGTACACCGTATGAGTACATTACTAATAAGTACATGATTAAGTAATGTACACGTACTTTCATACATACATGTACATACTATACTACTTTACTATTACACATAATTATTATTATTATAATCCCACCAGTAAGAAACTGAAACCTGGGTCTTAGTACTCGTACAAAAGGTGGATTCATTGGATAATCCTTTGGAAACTTCATCTCAATATCAATTACAGGCTACAATGTACCAAAATGACAAAATTGACAAATGATTGCACTATAACTGACTTTTCTATTTCTTCTTTTAGCATATGCCTCTAAATCTTGGTATAGTAATGATTTTGTATCAAAGTCTGATAATTGCACATCCCAAACAAATAAATTGTCCTACAACAAGATTGCATAGATAATATTATTATTATTATCACTGGTTCATGATACGTACTCCTCTTGGACAACCTGAGATACCAAACTTTCCATCTGACTTATTCATGTTCTTTAGATCTACAAATCATGCCGATAGAATGAAGAAGTAAAATACTACTATACATATATATATACATGTACATGTACATGTACATGCATGTGTACAATGTACATGTATATACATATAAAATCGGGCCAACAACCAAAGGCTATTAATATTAAATACAGCCTTTGGCCTTCAGCTAAACTTTGTCAAAAATGGCTAGGAGAGAATTCTCAATTTTCATTATTTTTTCTGAATCCTGATACATATACATGTTCTGACGTTATTTTTCAAATTTGATTTGATTGTAATCAAGTTCAAATTTTTAATGAATTTTTAAAGCTGCTCAT